TGTCCACCTGTTGTCTCTGTCTCTTGTCGGGTCCTTGTCTTATGTCTTACGTCTGTCTCAGTTTGTCTAGTTTTCCAGTTGTACTGTTAAGTCCTGGTTTACTAAGCTCCGTGTTCAGACTTTGTGACAGTGCTACCGGTAACTAGCCGTGTGCAATAGTTCTCTCCCGTGCTGCCTGTCCTGGACTGTTTTATGCGTTATTGTCATCATTAAAACCATCATTATCATCACCTTACCTGGGTCTCAGCGTCACTCCTCATCACCTACCACCAATTCTTGACAGTATCATAACTTAAACTTAATGCTCAAAGCACCAGGGATTTTCTAGAAATATATTGAGAGTTTATTTTGTAATTTTAAAGACTGCACATTGAAGATGGTGAAAAACGGAGCTGATAGCGAAAATTCAAGCTGGAAGACTCCGCCCCCTCCGTTCACCCATCGGCGTCATGCTCATCTCCGACCTCAGCGCTGGACCTCACTCAGCGCGTCCAATCATCAATCAAGCTCTGCATAAAAGGATCCACACCCAAGCCGTCAGCCGGTTCCCAGCTGCGTTCAACCCACCACCGCCCCTTCTCCACCCACATCCTTCGGCTCTCCAGGATAGCACCCTTTCCCGACCTCCACCACCAGTGTCGGGCCCCGGGGGAGAGCATCCCTAATCAGTTATTGGGATGTTCATCGAGTTCACATCAAATCTCAGCTCATATCAGCTACCGGGGCCCGAGCGCCAAAGAACTGCTATTCATTCCTGTCATTAAATCTTTTAATTGTTCCTTTTTCTTCATCTGAGTCTTTCCAGATTGAAATAAAGGTACACTTTATTTTTATTCTATTTACCGTCAGCTGCTCTGCTCTATTTCTCCTCTGCTCTCTGCTCCCACACACTGAGCTGTCAGCCACTCACAATGCTCAGGCTTTCCCTCCTTTTTCAATCTCTCTTCATTAACAGAGTTAAATGTGATTGAAATACACTGCTCGAAAAAATAAAGGGAACACTCAAATAACACATCCTAGATCTGAATGAATGAAATATTCTCATTGAATACTTTGTTCTGTACAAAGTTGAATGTGCTGACAACAAAATCACACAAAAATCATCAATGGAAATCAAATGTATTAACCAATAGAGGCCTGGATTTGGAGCCACACACAAAATTAAAGTGAAATGTTCCCTTTATATTTTTGAGCAGAATATTTGTTAAGGGAAAAAATTGCTTAAGTCTATCAAAGCAGTGCAGGCAGTTTTGCTAGTTTTGATTTACAAGGCATAATAAGGCAGTTTATCATGATTCAGCCGAAGTAAAGAAGTGCCAGTGGATTTAAGGATTTGTTATTAAAATATTAAGCTGAACAATTTGACCAACCAAGCTTGACTTCCTTTGTCTTTGTTTAGGCTAATTTTGGAATGTGAGCTTTTTTGTTTATAGGAACAATGGCGAGTCAAGATAAAATAACCAACAAAAATCATCTCTTCCAGCATTTGCAGGGCTTAAGTAACCTGGCTGTCTATTTTTATATATTGGAGAATTAGTCGTAAATATTGTCACTTTCAAATTGCAAGGGATAAATTTGCAGTAATGTGACCCAGTAAAGCATATTGAAGGATTAGTGCCACAGAGATACGAAGACTACTCTTTTATTGCCAAGGTCACAGATAAAAAGTAGGTTGTAAAGCATTGTTTGAAATCCTCTTAAAGAACTCAAGAAACAATTCTGTTTTGGTACAGGACATCATTTAATCAATAAATGTAACATTATTTTCTATTTCAGCAAAAATGTCCACATGAAGCTTCTTTTATATGCTGATATTTCATATTTTTTGAAATGTATAATTTAAATAAAACATATGCTTTCAAACACATGAAGTACCTTGTCCTTGACTTGACTAAAATTAGACAATATATGAAACTGTCGAACCGTGGCTCACTTTATAATCTCCTCCTGAAAGTGCCTTTAAGTGCAGTGGTGCCATAAACAATGACCATTTTTTAAATGATAAGGGAATATGGCATGGAAAAAGCAATGTCTGTCTGTAGTTGTGTGCACTTGGCTCATTTATTAATTTATTTTAGTACTGAAGAAAGCTCCAGGGAGTTAAATGTTTTTAAAAAATCCATGATTAATGAAAGATTAATCATGAATTTTGTAGAGGAACAGGAAGAGTTGTCACTCTCTATTTGGGCCGGTTTGGAGTTGGGTAGAAGGAGGAGACAGGAAAGGGGGGAAAGGGTGGGAGATTGTGAGATGGTGGATTGGAGTGGATCTGGGGGTGGATGTCAAGGAGTGAGAGAAGGCAGGGGGAACTGCCAATGAAAATGACGGGAAAAGGGTTTTGGAATTCATGAGATGTTGACATAGCAAGAAGCCTGCAACACTACAGCACAGCCTTTGTTGTGTGACCCCATTAAATCAGCCATCACATTGTGGGCAGCACAGAGTCACAAATGGGATACAAAAGGCCTTGCTTTACTTTTGGACCAATACAGATACTATGGCGAATATAGCTGAGAATGGAGTAAAAAATTATGTCCAAATGTGATGTTTTGAAAAGAAAACTTTCTTTCTAAAATATATATAATTACTGGTGTAACAATCCAGTCAACTATATGTGTTAAACATTATTTAAGAAGGCCACTATAACAGTTTTCAAGGACGGTAAGCCTATTATGGCAAAGTAAGTCTACTATTTAAAATAATAAGATCTATTTTAAAAGTAAGAATGATAGTTGTTCCTGAAACTGCAGTATTGTGTTGACAACAGCGCAGTTGCTTTTGAAGGCTTCTCATCAAGCTAGCTGACAACACCAAGTTACTAAAATACAGAATAAGCTTCTTGCCTGAATACCAATTTGACAGGGAGTAAGGTAGATAGAGAAGGGGAAGAGATGCAGCAAATGGCTTGAGACCAGGAATCGAACCCAGGACAGCCACTTTTAAAGTTAAAGACTTGCCAGTCACCTTGTCTGGTTAACAGAATGTTTTGCTACACCCATGTATGCTTTGCTCATTTTATTCTCATTTTAACAGCAGTTGAAGTTGTACGTATCTGAGGAATTTTAAAGTGTTGCACAAACAATGAGCAAAGTGCTTGACTATTCCGTGTAGTATTGAAAACTACCCTCGTGAGGATTCGGTTTCTTCAAAGGTAAGAAGTCCTCCAGTGAGAATTATTTTCACACCTCATTAAAACATTTTCAGTGCCAGTTGAAACAAACGTTGAGCAATAGCACCAGGAAATGGAAGCTGAAGCATTTTAAATCAGATAATAACATGTCACAATCATGCAATATGACCTTTCATATTTGACAAAATGTCATGTTTATTGTTTGTTTCAAAATTGTTTGCTGTATTATATTTTAATCGTATAAGCCACTTTAAACTCCCTTGTTGCTGAAATATGACGTACAAAAAATTTGTCTTATCTTGTATATTCTGCTAAATACTAATAAGTTTATATATTTTACAGGGTCAATTACATATAAAATAAAATACAAGATAATTTTAAAGAAGAACTAGATATTCTCAATTTAATTTGGTTTTATTATTTCTTTGCATCCACACACACATATTTGCTTAAATTTCCCTTATAAATTATACATTTGTTCATAGATTTGTAGCCATCAACAAGCTTCTGGCTTAACGTGGCTAGATATTTGACCGCTCTTCTTGGTAGAATTGGTAGCACTAATTTAAACTAGGCTGTCAATCATAGCAAACACATTTATATTGTTGATGTGGAGGATTTTGGTAAGCTATTCCAGAAGCTTAATGTTACCCTCCTTTAAAAAAACTAGGTCTCATGTTCATTTAGGATTATCACTGTGTTGGAAAACCCAACTTGATAAAATTAAAAGTAGAAGCAAAAGCTATAGTATTTAAGACAATTTAACAAGCTCTTTTCCCCCAGTCTAATTGCTCTCCAGCATCCTCTTAAAGGCAATCATCATAACTGGCTAGTTTAATTTATGGTCTAATATATGGAAAGCTATTTTTTTTTTTTTAAACCCATAATTTATACCAAGTAATAGAGATACACTGGAAGTACAATTCAAATAATTAGTGAGACGCCTTTCTTGCAATAATTTCACATCAATACTTATGCCTTTGTGTTCAACCTTTAAAATAGTCTCCCATGTTTATCTCTCAGTCATAAAAATACAATGATATTGCCAATATCTGCGTCAGGTATCACACTTATTGCTGAATTTTACAGCAATAACTGTAAAATCATTTTGTCTCATTAAAATGAGAGACAAAATGAACAGACTTTTGAACAGCTCTGTCTCTTGGGCAAACATTTTAGAGTATAATAGATAGGGAAATGATGCGTGGAGTGAAGGAACACAGTGAAGTAAACAGGCAGCTGCTTCTGCTGGGAACTTCAGTGATTTCACAGTTTTTGGGATTTGTCGCTGGCAGAGTGTGGCTGATATCAGACGTACAGGCTTTCAATAAACAACTAAAGTCAGTGGTGTTAACTGCATGCTAATTCATTCTTCCTTCAGTGTGCTGTTTTCCAGCTTTCTGAGGGCTGGATGTAGTTCAGGTGCTGTTTTAGACTAAATCAACATTATTTAATTGCATCTGTACACATATGTAGCACCGTTTTTATATATCAGGCATGTAATGGTGGACTACCATCATTGTTTCGTACGTATTCTGGTTTTAAAGTCACAGTTTCTCACAGGTTCTCCTACCAAAGATAAATAAAAACATCAGATTGTTTGTGTTTTGTCCAGCAGAGAGAGAGAGAGAAAAGAATTGTTTCATTTCTTAAAGGAATTTTGTTTTAAAACTTAAAAAGTGTAAAAGTATAGAACTGATTGAAGATGTGTGTAATGATGTTCAGAAATGTTCAAACAAGAATTTGCACATATTTAACAATTTGGTTTTGATTGTGATATATGTTTAAAAACGTATCACAGGTTTTTGTCTAAATGACGTTAGAACTGTTTTGGTATTTTGACAACGTAATTTACCAGTTGTACCTGAATGCAGCATGCGCAGTTGGAAAAATCCCCTTTTATCAATGCGAATACTCCGATTTGAGGAAGTTTGAACTGTTTTTGCTACCCGTTGAAGCGGGCAATTTGCTCCCTCAGTCCCCGTATCCCTATTGCTTACATTTGGCTTAAAGCAGGTGAGTATTTCATTTAATAGCAGGGCGACGCACAAATCGCCCTGCCATTACTGTTAAAGCTCCAGTAGGTAACTTTTATTTAAAAATGTGTGGAAGTTCATTGTCAATCTCCCTCGTGTACTCGCTGCTAGCATACTGTGGTTAGCAGAATGGTATGCTAGCATTCCGTTAAAACTGCTAGCCATTCTGTTTAGCATTCTGTTTAACATAAAATCGGGTTTCGATATGACTGTTTATATTTGCATATCTAACTACATTTGGACCATGCCGAATCATACTTTAAGGTATCTGCGTTTACATTCTGACTAGTAAGAAGAACAATTCAAGACATATTCAATTACAGTTTTATGATTCAAAATGCCTTTCAAGGTATCTCAAATGATGTCACTTGGGAAAACTCAGAAGCCTTTTGGAATACTGGGCTGAGAAAGGTTTTCCTTGAAGGAACTGAAAAGTGTTGCTCGGGAGAGGAATTAATTTATATTTCATACCTTTTCTCAAGGTTTATTGGCACTGACACTTTTCTCTTTTACGTACAAACATGTTAAAATTCTAGCCAGCAAGCTACTATTTTATTTTTTTTCTAAGACATTTCAGAGTAGTTTTTTTCTGTTGCTTGACTTCAAAATATTGACAAAACACAGGCGGTTTTCATCACAGGTTTCTAATACAAAAAAGGGGGGGGGGGAAAGAAGTCGGCCTGTAAAGCATAATTTTCTTTGAACATAAACGCATGCACATAACCATATTCGCACATGCAAACACCGCAAAGTAAATGAATACTATCACATTGGAAATGTGTTATTTAAGGTCTCCACCTCATATCTGGTGTGAAATTAAAACCCATGAAAGCTGCCTAGATCTTGCAAATGAAAATGGAATAACATTCTGATTTGTTCCTTTCCACCAGTACAGCAAAGCATTGGTGCTGAGTGAAGTAGAAGACATGCTGGGCAACAGTATAGATGAGAACGGAAGGTAATCGTGCAGTCTCCACTAGCAATCAGGAGGTGCAGAGGGCCTCATGGGGGAATGGATGCAAAGGTGGTCAGTGGCATGAGCTAAAGTGGAATTTTTCTTCTGCCTGTCCCTGCCATTCCTTGATGCAAGGGCCAGCTTGAGTAGAAAGACATACTGTGGCCTGGAAAGTCAAGTCATTTCCTCCTGCTGCCCTAATTCTGCCTGTGGCATAGCTCAAATCTGACACTGATCCCATATTTGTCAGAGGGTAAAACCTGGATGCTATTTGATAGCAAACCTCTGGCACTCTTTCTGGTCGACTCTTGACTGGAACTCAGGCTTTCCAGAGGTAGCATTCACAACGCTGAGCCACCTGAAAGACATCCCCACTTCGCAATTTTTTTTTTTCTTCTGCAGCACAAGAGAGGAAAACGTCTGCAGCAGTGCTCCATTTGATTTCAACACGGCACCCTGTGTGGATTTACCTAACAAACAGCAATGGGTAAAAACAAAAATGTCTGGACAGTGCGCTGTTCTACTATAAGAGAACAGAACTGACAAATTAGTCTATCAAAGCCACCACACGTTCTATTAGCTGTATTCACAGCCACATGTATACTCTCTGCTTTCATTTGCAGCCCCCCTCCATCATGTTGCTTCATTTATCAAAAGCTGAAATAATGTGGCAGGGATTTATTATCTTGTTCAGAAGCCAGGACTCATTTGCACAACAGAGGCCACAATCCCCAATCTGGCATTGATTTCTTTTGATTTATGTGAAACAAGAAGTGTTCAGAAAGCATGTTCATTGAGCCTGCCCCCAGCACCCACATATTATTTGTTTAGAATGACAGTGACATGGACTACGGTGACACACGGAAGCATATAAACAAAATTAATCAATTTACCACATTAACTATCCTCATCGCTTGTTATTGTTGTGCACCTTAGTATATTTTTAGCTTGGCGTAATGCACTACTTTAAATATTTATGAGTGGAAAATCTGCTTGTATACGGTTGTGTGTCTGCTCAAGAACATTTTCGAGGCATTGTCTCGTAAAAAGGTAAACGCTTGGCAGATGCAGTTTACAAGTGAATAAGTTATTATTTAAAAAAAAAAAAAACTGAATGTCAAGGTGAGCTTGTCGGTAACAAAGATATCTGACGAGGAATTTGTTGCCTTTCATCTTTTTGGGCTGTAAACCTCTTATTGAACTTTCTGAAGTTGAACATAAACATTAAATAAGATATTCACTGCCTTTACTTTCAATCTATCTGACTGTACACACAAATATCTGCAAGGGAAGTAACATGTTTTTGAGGGAAAGTCAGACATCCTTCTCCCCTGGGACACTAGCTAATTAAATTGGATTGAAAAGTGTTCACACTTCACAAGGGACATGAAGTCCATTGTGTGAGTTCTTGGTCTAACCCAAGGAGTCCATCTAGTGGAACTCATCTTGGTGGAACTCAAAAAAAGTCCAAAAGGAGATTACTAGGAAGCACTTTGATTGGGTGGTGATCATTTTGATTCAGAAGGGCAGTGGTTCTGCTTCAAGTTTCCCCCGGATAGAGGAACTTCTCAGTACATTTAAACTGAGCCCAGGCTCTCCATATAGGATGTTCATTTTAACAGGTTGTTCCCTGGATTTTGGTGTTTTCACCAAGAAGTAAATCAAAAGATTTGAGATTGAGTTGATTTCTCACAGTGACCTTGCCTAAAATAATTAAATATTTACAACTTCCCCCCTCCTCCCTCCTGTAAAAAACCCCTCAACACTTAGACTATTGTTTTTGTTGCTGAGGTCTACTTGGGCGATAGCAATTTTCTTGTATGTGGGTCGGGATGGGTTATCACACATCTTATGACGTGATGGATAATGAAAAGACCTTATTTTTCCTGGCAGGTCAAGAAGATTTTTGCTTAGCCTCCTTTGTTCCTCCCACTTTCCTGTGCAGAAATTATACTTGAGAGATCACAGTCAGCTGTTACTTGCAAATGTTATTTTAATCACTTCGCAAGAATCATATTTGCATACTTCTCTGTATTGATATCCTTAGCGTTGTTCTGTTGCTTTGATGGTCTTATGCAGATTTAGTGGCCATGAGCTCCGTTTGAATGCATAATTCATAATCCTCTGAGATAGTACTGTATACAGTAGGAGATAACACTCAAATGACCAGCACGCTGATCTCAAATCACAACAGTTGAACTTTACTGCACATGCTGTCAGAGGAAAGCTATTGAGACCCAAGTTGAACATTTCCTCGCCTATGACTGAAATGCTAATACCTGATTTCTATGCTATAACAGCAAATTGTTGGGTCAACGGGGTCTTTCATGGTTTGAATATTTGGTGCATCTCATAATAGGAGACCTTGAACTCTGTCTGAAATGTACTAAGAAATGTGTTTCTATGTTTACATTGTTACATATAATCTAATCATTGTACTATATAAAAAAAGTAGCTATATAATGCTGATCCACAGCAAATGACCTCTAAAGAAATTGCAATAACCCGTGAATATGGAGACCTACACTAACTAGCTAGGAAGATACATAGGCAGCCTTCACAAAACAGGAATAGATTAATATTATTGCAATATTATTCTCAAATACTTACCTTTTTCTGTTTGTAGTTAAAAATTTTTTATACAATATCAAGTCTTTTTTTTTTTTTGAAAAATCCTTCCTGTTTTGTAAAAAATTCAGAGCAAACATGAACAATAAATAACTGTCAGACAATGCAAACCAGATGTAAATATTTATGAACCTCATCTTGATTGTTGATCTATTTTGCTGTCATATTTAGTTTTTAAGGGATAAGGCTGATAATTGCTTTTTGTGTTAATTTCTAGCAGTGACAGTTGGTGGGTTCTGTTTGCCTTTTATTATACGTTTGTCACTGTGTGCAGAGTTGCTAATGCAAAATACTGAGTTCTCCTTAATTTTGGAGTTCACTGTTGTGTCACCTATTGAACCAATGTGATATTGTTTTGTATGTTTATGAATAATTTTAAAAGATAACTAAATTTAATTAGAAAAATAAATGACCCACAGAAAATATTAAGGCCTGCAAAATTGCTGCGGCAGCATTTAAGCCGGACCCCCACTCCTTTATGGACTGGTGCTGTTGCTTAAAAACATTCCTTCCTGAACGGTTGCAATCCTTATCCTAGCTGAATGCTATATACGTCTTACATTGCACCCATAGAATGCACCCATATCAGACAGTTTAAAAAATTTGATTTAAATGCAGATGCATTCACTATACCATTATACACTTTTAGGTGGAAAATAAGAACCAATCACTATTTTTTTTTTATCTCAAAACTCAAAATTGTATAATACAGCTAATTTAATGTTCAGTTCATTAAGGGTCCTGCTAGGAACTCATTATTGCCACCATTGTTTTATTTAATTTCTAAATTAAAATGAGACAGAGAATAGGCCAAGCTGATTTGTAGACACGTGGGAGACGAGCTTTTTTTTTTTTATATTAAATTTTCTAAAATAAATTTTAAATATAGTGTTCATGGGAATTTTCATTGTAAGGTCCTACTTGAGTAGTTTTTTTTTTTTTGAGACAAATCTCTATTCCCCTATCCCAATATCTGACTTGTTTTTCAGTGTTGAAGAAAACTTCTCTGCCTTTGCTGAAAATCACCCGTTTGTCTGCATGCACCATTGATATTCTAGCTGCACAATCGGGTCACCAGGTAAGCCAGACTTCCGTGATTGTGTTTAGAATGTCTAAAACATCAGTTTCTTTAATGTAACACATTTATTTACAGAATCTCATGTCATGGTATATTGCAAGCAACATTTAATGGCAAAATTGTCAGATTTTGTAAAAGACAAAATACATAAAATAACAAACAAAAATGAGCAAGAGGGTGAATGTGAAAGTATGAATGTGGCAATGGTATTGAATAAGCTAGTATAAGATTGGTTTTCAGTTGTACAACATCCAGAGGGAGGGCATTCCAGAGTTGTGGATGAGAACTGCTGAAAGATCTGGTGGTGGGCAGAGTGTATAGGAGGGAGTCAGAGATGGACCTGAGTGTGAAAATTGCAAAATGTAAATTATTCATACCAATACGATTATTTTTAGGATGTCAAATAATTCTATACCATGAGCATCATCATGTCAGTACAGAAGCAAGTGCTTCTCAAAGATTAAAGCAAAAAGCCAATTGTAACCAGGGCTGTTGTAAACAATTATTTTAGTAATTGATTAGTCTATTGATTATTCTGATGCTTAATCAAATAAAAATTGTCTCATTCTTTAGTAGTTATATTAGCTGGTAGAATGTATGAAAAAGAAAATGCTAGAGAAAAACAATTCAGTTCTTTTTTTTTTCTTATAAGAAAACATTTTTGCTTGAAATGCAATATGATTCAAACATCACGTTTAGTCTCAAGTTTGAAGTATAAAAAAATGTTTGTCATTGGTGTGTGCTACTTGGAGTGTAGCAGAGAGCAAGGAGGGGGGATGAGCAGCGCTAGACAGAGTAGTGATTCACAGTGCAAAGACCCTCCTCTTGGCTCTGATTGGTTGTTTCTGGATAGCACTGGGAGAAGGCAGAAGAGCTTTCTTATCTGTCTCATACCTTCCTGTCACAACATAGTTGTTGCAATTATGTAAAAAATAAAAATAAAAAGTGTTTTACAAAAGTTAAACACTGCAGATGGAGACATCTGATGGAGACAGTGCAGTTTGCTATACTGGTGGTACTGCTTCAAAATATACATCCCAATCCTCAGAAAATATACAAAACAGAAGCTGATTAAAACCAACATATTTGATGTTTCTCATGAATATCTTTATGTAAGACACAGTTGTTTTATATATATACTTACCAGCATCCTTTGTAACATCAGAAACATGTTTTTGTTATTTTCACCCAAAGGTTGAGTGATTTTTTATTTTATTTTAGTTCCTTCCGTCCATTCAAACCCAAGATCTTCTTTGACATTTATAACGGTACAATAGTTGTGCACCATCTCAGTAATGGGCCCCGTCTTTTTCTGTATTGGCCTCCTTTCGTATTTTGCTTAATTTGTATTTATACTTCGTTCTGCTGGTATCTGTCAGTGTATTTTCAAATGTCCCCAGTCAACTGCGTCTCATCTTTTGATCACCATATTTATTTGCATATTTACTCCTTGGTTTTCCCTGTTCATTTTCCAGAGTCTCAATGTAACTTCACAGATGTCAGACCTGTCTCATTTCTTCCTTGTGTCTGCCTTTGTGGTTGTCTTGAGTTTTGTGGATTTGGATTCCCAGTGCTGGCAGCACTTTTGGTCTTGTTTGTGTCAAATATATGCATTTTTTTCTCCTTTGTCACCTGCCTGCCTCCTACATATCCCTTTTGCATTTAGATATTTCACCTTATACCACAGCCGCTCTGAAACAATTTTTATTTTGTTTCAAGCACTGACAGGGGAGATTTTGTATTGGTGATTTGTTGTAATTATCATATTGGAAAATACAGAAATGGTGGCAGAAATGGTTGTTTTTGTTGTGCACGTAGCTAATTAATTTTTGAATATGGCCTAATACTGATAAATAATTTTATAATTTATTTTTACTGTTAAGACTGTACCAGCTTAATATTGTTACCTGGGTGCATATTACTGAGGGACATGTATGAAGATCCAATGCGCAGAGATGGGCAATTGAGAAAAGGGCAGAACAAAATTAGAGGGCACAGACATAAAGCATCCCTGACACTGGCATATCAGTTTTCTCAGCAATTACTGAAAGATAGCTTTTATTTCCTCCAAGGAAGCCAAGAGCAGGTTCAGCTCCGCTAGCTGTCCGCAAAATCAATCTAAATCTGGAGCCTACGGTAAATCTTGTAGGTTTTTCAGGATTTTTTAATGACCTGCCTTGTTCTTTACATGGTTCACAATCTGATTATTAGTAGTGGTGTAGAAGAGGCTAATTGAAGTGTCACTCAGCTCCTAAGTATCATCCTATTTTCCCTTTCCTATGCTGAGAGGAAAATTATCTATTTGAATAAGTCATCAGCACTTGAAAAATGGAGATGGCTGTTGAATATTTTCTGAAGGCACTCTGAGGTTTGAACCTCTACTAATAAAAAGCCAAAAGTAAATCCGGACTGTTACGTTGCATTGTCCTCAATTGGAATACACAGTCGAACCAGATAAATATATACACCGTATAAAAAGACATACACTTTTTTTTATCACCGTCTTGAATTAAATGAGACCAAACTTTTCTTGTTTTAGCATAGTTACAATTACCAAAATTTGCTGAATGCCAGAAAACTTGGCAAGAACATTTTTAGAGATGTTTTTTTTTGTAACTTTCCTCAAATCCACAGGTTTACAGACATTTGGTCAGTATCAGGCATTACTGTCTTATAAACTCTTTGACTTGGGTCAAACCTTTTGGGTTTCTTTCTACAAATTTCTCACAACAGCATGCTCAAGATCTGCCATATCCTTCTGACAGGACTGGTGTAACAGAGTCCAATTTGTAAGCCAACTCAGAGTTCTGATCTTCCCAAGGCTTCTCCATAGGACTGAAATCTGGGCTTTGTGATGACTACACCAAAAACATTTGCTTTGTTTCCCTTAAGCCACTTTGCAGCAACTTTGGCTGCATACTTAGGGTGATTGTCCATTTCAAAAAGCAAACTATGCCCAAGGTTTTACTTCCAGGCTGTTGTCTTTAGATGTTGCTTCAATATTTCCACATAATGTTATTTTCTTATGATGGCATTTATTTTATGAAGTGCACCACTTCTTCCTCCAGCAAAACAGCACCACAGCATGATACTGCGATCCCCATACTTCAGTTAGATTATGTGCTGTGCCCAAAACAAAAAAGCATTTCTAAAATTGTAGATTTTAAATAAATTCTCATCCACAGCAAAGGGAATCTTTGGGTATGGACTCTAAATTGGATAAATGTTGTTCCTAAATTAAAGCATTTTACTAAAATCAATGATGAATGATTTCTACCATGAAAAATATCTTGCCAAACAAATAACTAAATGAATAAAACCTGTTGGTGGCATATTTCTTAAAACAAAATAAATGATGGATCCCAGAATACCAATACATTTACATTTTCCTCTGCTAATGTATTTACAAAATCTTGGCAGAAAAGGCTGTGAAAAAGCTGGGAAGCTGTACAAACAAAGTGATTTATTGGAAAAAGAGGTTAAGGTATAAAACAAACAGCATCTAACAGGATTGCCCACACCTGCTAAAGAAACGGTTGGCATCCTTCGAACCAGAGCGTATTCTATTACTTTGAAAATGTGATTAGCCTAGTATCAAGACCGAGTAATTCCTTAGTGCAGGCAAGCTGGAAAGCAATTGCCTTGGCTGTGCATTCAGTTAAGGAACAAAAAACATTAAAACATAAATGCATTAACAAATCCAAAAATACTTTCACAAAGAGAAATGTCCGTGCAAGAGCCTGAAGTAATCCAACAGAGTACATTAGTAAAGAATAGTGTTTTACCTCATGTTTAGAGTTCTTGGGCTCTTGAAAAATATGCAGTCATGCAGAGGAAAAAAGTTATCATGTTCTCTGTCCGTACAGTCAGTTTAATGTTGCCTTTATTAATTGCAGAAAGAAATCCTTTAAAGGAAAACATGATGGTGTCAGATAGGCTACTGCTGTTAAAAGTCCAAACAAGAAAGGGTAATAGGAGAGTTTCTTTCCAAAAAATTATGTCAGCTTTGCCTGCATGTCAGCTCCGGCTATCCCTGTAAGCAGTTAATTCACCACTTTCACCATTCAGGTTACAGAGCGCTTGATTTGACAGAGGTTTTAAATATTTTCCGGCAAGTCAGCAATCTAAGCTTAAGCTCAGAAGTTAATCAAGTTAACATGCTTATCTACTGCCTGGGCAATAAAACTGATCAGAGAGGCCAGGCTCTTACAGTGGAGGAACAATGGAAATTCACTCTAGTGTAAAACGTAGATGATGCTGACAAAACTATAGCAAAGATGTAATTCCTTTGGTTCATTGTAGCAGCTGCGGTTTCAAACTGGCACTATTTTTTCTCTAAAAGACTGGATAGAAATGAATAAAAGTTTTCTTTAAAAAAGTAAAAGGAAAAAAAAAACTATTTCCTAAATAGTTTTTATTTACATTTCTTATCTTTCTTACTTCACTTTCGTTTCTTCAGTCCTACAAATTGGGTTCTTACAATGAAAGAAGCAATAAAGTAGGAAATTGATTCAAATAAAATTTAAATTTAAATTCTCCATCAGCCTTTACTATTTAAAAAAAATCAGAATAACAATATATGTGTATTTGATCAGGAAGCTTAAAGTAAACATTTTTTTTAAAACAAAACTTTTTTTAAATTAAATGTTTTTATATTGAGTTCTTGGACTCAAATTTCATATGTGTGTATATTTTACACTATATATACATAACAGTGTCTTACCTGAAGACATGGAAATAAGTAATGGACAACTTGTCCAGGTGCAAATGAGAAGTGCTGTGCGGTGAGCCCCAGGTCATGGCGCCCTGGCTCGGTAGCCTTTTCATCCATGTCATAAGCCACAACAGATGAGGATAACTATGCAAATGTAAGCCACGGTCGGGTGCAGCTGTATATATTTTTGTAAGCATATAACAAAAAAACTGGAACTTATAAAAAACATTAATCTCAGTGTAATACTGACAACACTGACTATCACTCTTATGCTTTAGAAAAAAAA